GGAGATGCCAGGCCAGAGGGCATCAGGGTTGGATTTGGACACCCGCTCAGGTTCCCCCCATTTGCTTAATGAAAAGAAACAGCTAGATTTTTCTCACCTGTCCATTGCCATTCCAATTGCCAGTGATATTCCAATTGCCATTCCAATTGTTGTTCCAGTTGCCATTGCCATTCCAATTGCCACTGCCATTCCAATTGCCATTCCAATTGCCATTACTGTTGCAGTACCTCAGATCCACAGCTCTCAAGACATTGAGGGTAATGCAGGATCCCAGATTCACTTGGAGCCCTTGAAAAGCAAGAAAGGAAGAAACAAAACCCCATGAGCTGATGCAGAAGACCTTGGCTGCCTTTCTACAGGAGGGTGGTGGTGTTGCTCAGAGCCAACCTGGTCCTAAAGGAGAGCTGCTCTGGAATGTTTGAGCTGTACAAGGCACACTTTCTCTTGGAGTCCCCAAAGAGCACCGGCTCTGTGGCTCCGCCAGGAATGTTCACAAAGACCTGCTCTTGAACACTCTTTGGGATTTCCTGTGAAGAAGTTGGGGCTCTATTGCACTTTGTCCTGAGAGTCCCAAAGGCTGGGCATTGCATGGTGAGGTTGCAGCCAGTCACATGAGCTGTGACTCTCTGGAAGAATCCTACCAAGTTTAGGTCATTTTAGCCCCGGGGAATGGGATCATTTCCCCAGGGACAAATCTCCAGTGATCAGAGAAACTTGGCTCTGTGTTGTGAAGCACAAGGCTTTGGAGGCTGAATGAGTCAACTGATTATCAAGCTCTGACCTGAAGGACAGCAGTTCTATGGACAACTCCTCTTCTTGGCTGAGTATTACAGGGGAGCTTAGGTGTGGGATAAAACACTCATTAAGTTTCCCAGAAATGTGCTGTAAGGGTTCACTTTGGGTTATTTATGTGGGCTGAGACCCCACCTTATTCCATTCCTGATCTGCAGTCATGCCAAACCACAACTGCTGAGCCCTTGGTTTCTGTGGGTTTTGAGGTGGAAGAGCAGCAACTGTGCCTTAGTAACGCCCGGGAAACAAAAAGGCCAATTCAGAATTTCCATGAATTCACTCACCATCAACTTCATAAGCCATGTAGGTGGTGACTCCACTGCACATAGCTGCAATTTCTATTCCATAGGAGTTGAGGTTGTTGACCAATCCATTGGTGACAAAGGTGATCTCCTTGGTAGGTATTCCAAGACCAATATGGTTCTAAACATTAAAAACCAAAATTCAGCCACATCAGTGCCAGGAGCTGATTCCTGCTTGAGATATTCCTAGTTCTGGGACGAAGACTCGGGGCTGCATGTTGGAGTCCAAACTGCCTTTAGGGAAACCTTTTAATCCCTTGTGGTTTGTGGGACCACTAGGAAGCCTTGAAGGCAACAGCAAAGGGAGAATATTTGCCCAACAACCTACAGAGCTCAGCACCCTCAGAGAAAGCGGAGCTGGTTGTGGGAGTAATCGAGACCCTTTCTTCTGGCAAAATATCCCTACAACAGATTTCCAATCTACATTACTGTTGAGTGAAACTAAATCCTGCCACTAGACACAACCTGATCCTCTCCAGAAAGAAGAAGCAGGAGAAGAAACAATCTAATAAACTCCAGGGTCAGGAACGTGCTACTCCTTTGGTTTCTTACCCTGCTCTCTGCAGCCAGTCGGGCCAGGTTGTTAAAGCTGGGTATCTCAGTTCTGTTCATGATGGAAATGTAGCAGGTGTTCTGTTGCAAGACTTTGGTTGCAATGACACCCTGTAAAATAAAAGTATTTAGCATTCACAATTCAGTTTTTCCAACTTTTGAGGTTGATTCAAAGTCAGGATGGAAGCAGTTACAAATCAGTATTTGTTTCTACCCTACACAGTTTACTTCAGATGATCAGAATACAGAAACAAGCCCCATCCCTGGGTCACCTTTTTAACCACCCCACTCCCATCCACTCACCCTGTTGTAGTTCCAGATGGTTTTCCATGATAAATTTTGGCTCTTTTGCTCGATGATTGCCACCCTTGTTTGACTATTGATCTTCACGCCTTGTGAGATACCAGTGATAGTGATTTGGGAGTCTCCACCAAAGATGATTTGCTGGTTTCCATTTGTCTGCTGAGACTGGAAAACCAAATGGAGCACTTTTAGATTGTAACATTAGTCAGTGTTGTCCCCATTGCTTTTAAAAAACCCTTGCTACAACAGAAATTCTGTTCCCCCCTCTAAGAGTCAGAAGTGGCCTCAGAATTTTCAAACAGACCCAGAATCAAGGCATTGGCATTGGGCAGTAGCCATAAAAATTCTTTTCAAGGATTCCATGTATCATTGCTGCATCTGACACCTGTAATTTCGTTCTTTTAGAATTTCATCTCTTTGAGAAGATTTCCATTCTTTTCCTTCAAAGTGTTGGAGAAAGAATCAAGGAGATTTCATGAAGCAGGGAATAGAGGCAGAGTAGCCATGCACATGGAAATTGGTCATTGTACTCACATAATCAGCAAGGGCTGGATTCAGGACAAGTCCAAGAAGGACTGCAGTCAAAATCTGAAATGAAAATCAAATACAAAATGTAACTGCAG